GTGCAAGTGTGTGGGTGGAGGGCAGCAGCTCTGCTACTTCAACCTCATCAGCCCTTCATTGCTCACCTCTATTTTTGGTACTTTGTGGTGCTGCAGGACCCAGTGGTCCCCCTGGGGCTGGGACAGCTGCACTGTGGGATGCCAGCCCCCTCTCAGCTGAGACTTCCAGCCTCAATAAGCATTGTTAAGTGCTAATGGGGCTTGGGGTCATGTAGTACAGCATCTCTGGTGGGGAAATCAGCCACTGAGACAGGACATTCCCAGGTATTTGGTCTGCTCTGGCTACATGTGGATCAAAGCAGGTCTCCGAATTCCTGCCCTATCCCAGGAAGAGCTGGGACCACAGAGAAAATCCCACATCCCATGCCTGACATAGAGGAGAGAGACCAGAGCTAAATGACCCAAGACAATGGTGGCAACAGCCATGCTGGGGTCAGCAGCAGGTACCATGTGCCAGCAGGTGACATGCAGATAGGAAGGAAGCAGCAGATGTTGGCCTACCCCACTTCTCTGAAGGTTTGATGAGAGCCAGATTTGCTCCAGCTTCAGATTTTCAGAGCCCCTATCAACTCCGAGTCAGCCCAGGAATTTCAGCATCACTCTGAAGTGGTGTCAAGCCACAGACCACAAGAGAGGAGGGATGGGTGCCAGGGAGCACAGCACCACATCTGGGCAGCCCATCTGGTGTGGCAGCTGCCAGCACTTGCTCCTGGCTGGATCCAGCTCCTGGGCCCTTCAGGGAGCTGCACCGAGGCTTCATCCAGCATCTCTAAAGCTCTGCCCTGGTATCCAGAGGAGCCTGTTCCCCGTGTGTTCTGTGGTCCTACTTTGACTGGGTGGTTGACACCAGTGCCCAGGGAGGAAGGAGAAGCAGAAATTGCTGGGATTCTTCCAAAGTGAGTGTATGCCCAACCATAACATGAAGGGGAGCATCCTGGGGAGGAATCCTGCAGCATTCCCCAGCACTGGGAACACTCCTGCAGTACTGGAAACCCTGGCCATGGACACCACAGGGTGCCAGCAGTGCCAGGAAGTAGCACTGGGCCATACACACTTACAGTGCTGTGTCCTTATAGGTGCTGGCCCGTTCCCTGGGCCCTGGGCTGGAGCACTTGGAGGAGGCAGCAGCCAGCGGACGATGTTATCCCACTGCCTTTCCCCACCTCGGGGCCTTCCCGACCCCATCCCACGCACTCTTCCTAACCCCCATCACGAACCTTGGTATTAAATGTGCTCGGCAGAGCCCCGGGAGGCAGCGACAGGCTCCTGGGTGAATACTAATAACGATGCCGGCCGCTCGCCCCAGACTTTCCCACACATCTGCAGCCACTTAATGTGGGAATCGTTAACCCTCTGCTTGCACCATGCCTGAAACACAGCGAAGGACTGAAACCAGGATGCTCCCCACCGGTGCAGGGAGAATCACATCCCCAACCCACTGAGAGCAGGGCCCACACGTGCTGGGAAGTGCTGAGGGCTGCCAGCATGTGTCCCTGTCCTCAGTGCCCTCTTGAGCATAGTCACAAAATCTGTGGCATTTGCATTTGCCAGGAAGGCTGATCCAGATCCCAAAGAGGATCACTGAGCCCTGGGTGGGGACAGGGAGCTGTATGGCAGCACTGGTGGCACATCCATTCAGGCTATCCCAGTCCAGCACCCATGTCCAGGGACCAGCTCTGCAGACCCTCCTCAGCATGGGGACATAAGTGACAGCACAGGGGTGGTTCAAGCATCTGGGGAGAGCCAAAGGCCACACAGTGTCTGCAGTGGGGCTGATGGAGATGAGGCAGGGGGTTTTCCTCTGCAAGAGGGTTGCACTGATGTCTCCTAGAGACATTGCTAGAGAGGAGGGGTTACTCATGGGACATTCAGAAGCTAGGGAATGACTGAAAGGGAATGGCTGGACTGGGATGTGAGTAGGGCCATGCAGCTCTGGGATATGCTGGTCTGAAGCCACAGATTTGCCTTTGAGAGCAATAGGAGCTGGAGGGAGTGGGGAGTGGGGAGGTGGTGGGGCAGGAGTCTGTGGGGGAAAAGGGAAGCAAGGGGAGACACCTACTTGACTCTCTGTGGGCATCTCCCTCTCCTGCAGAAACCGTGGTGGGGTTCAGAGCAAGTTGGGGAACAAGGCAGGACATGGTTTCCCATATTGAGTGCCTCCTCCATGGGAACAGGAGCTGATGGGATGGTGTCCCTGCTCCACCTGTGATAACCGCGTGCAGCCTGGCCCTAGGGACCTTCCAACCCTCCTCCTTCCAGGAGATGGCATCACTCGATCACGGATAGCAGCACCGAGCCCCAGGGAGCATTGAGGGAGCCATGACTGCTCTCCCTCTCCACTGCATCTGGCTGGTTTCCACCAAGAATACCAGGTCTGAGGGACTAGGGGTGGTCCCCAGGTTGGGTGCATTTCTGGGGGTCTCTAGGATGGATGGAGGGGGTACTGCCACCTGTTGTCACCCAGCTGGGGACCCCCAGGGGCTCTGTCAGTTCCTCATCTGCTCACCCATGGGACCCCAGTGCAGGTGGCATCCTGAGGCACCAAGGGTCCCTGTCAGCACCCTTCAGCCCCAGCTGAGCAGCTGAGATGCTCCTTGGGGAGCTCATGAAGGACTCTTCATCTGCCTCCTCCTCAGCATAACCACCAGTAACAAATGGGTCAAAGAAAAGGAGGGGACTTACTGCTGGTGGATCTTTATGGCTCAATTATCCTCCCCTGTCCCCTTCACCCACACTGAGGAAGATCATGCTCAGCTGTCAGTGGGCACCTGGCCATGCTGTGTCCTGCCAAGCCTGTCACCTGCTCCCCTGGGGAGGATGCGGGTGGGGGTCGCTGCCCCAGACCCCAGTAGATGCCTGAGCCTTTGGCATTGGCTCCACAGACTGGGAAAAGGTAAAGGGGGCCTGGGCTCCCTGCCACTGCCTGTAAGAAACAGCCAGTGGCAGGAATAGCCACAGTCCATAAAATGCAGCCACCCCTGGGATGGGACCTGGGTTCCTCTATACCTCTCACCATCTGCTCAGGGGGAATTTTCTGTTCTTTTTCTTCCCCCCACTTCCTAAGCCTCTTTGCTGATGAGAGGAAGAGGAGGAGTAGGGTGGCCTTGACTCTGTACTTTACACAAAGCCATGGCTGTACTGAGAGCTTGGGAAAAATCCAGGATAGATGGGGTTATAGGGTACATCAAGCAATCTGAGCTGAGTGGTGAGCTGGGATCATCACTGGGTGAGACGGTCATGACAGTCACCTTTGTCACAAGGGAGGGACCTGGGACAAGGCTGAGCAAGGGGTTGGGGACCCTGGGGGCCCAGAGGGGATGCTGCAAAGTGCTCACCTCTCCTGGTGCCTCCAGCCATGCCAAGTTTGGGGAGGCAGAACACAAGTGATGCCAGCTCTGGGGGTGATTTCCCATTGCTGGGGGTTTACCCTTCTCTGTCCTCGTAAACCAGATCCCTCACCTCCCACTCATCTCCCCTCCATCTCATCCTGGCACCCACCTCCTTGCAGGAAGTGGATGTAGCACAGGGGAATATGTGCAACCAGTTTCAGGTAGAAGTGGGGCTAGACCAATGGGATGAGGTTCTTGGGACTGACACAGACCGCTGAGGGTCCAGACTCCATGACAGAGATTTTATCCTCTCCCCTCAATGTTATCCTTAATCTCTCTCTCGCTCTCTCTCTCTTTTTTTTTTTTTTTTTTTTTTTTTTTTTTTTTTTTTTTTTTTTTTTTTTTTTTATTTTTTTTTATTTCGTATGGTGGAATTCCGGGCTGTTTTGGTCCCAAGAGCTTGAGGATCATCCTTGCCCTGCTCACATTTCTAGCAGGGGAAGGGGCTGGTGCAGAGAAAAGGACATAGGCAGAGGCAGAACACCCTCCTGGGGCATCTGTGGGCTCTGCTTCTGATTGAGGGGGAAAAAGCCAGTCTGCAAATGACAACTGTGGCTGCAGTGGTGGCCAGTGCAGCTGGAGTGTGACCCTGGCGGGGAGGGGGACATCAGTGGGGCCGAGATTCCCAGCTGCCAGTGGTGGGGGCTTCTGGGCTGTGTCAGTCCCTCATCCCCGTCTGGAGTGCAGGTGTGTCTGACCTGACAGGTGATGAGTGGGTGATCGCTGCTGAGGTCTTTGTGGCGGCACTTCTCACCTTGCAGGCAGACAGGGCTTCACAAGTGTCCCCTTTCTGCTTGATTTGCCCTATCCCCAACATATGGGGATGGATTTGCTTTCTTAAGAGACAAAATGGGTGAGAAACTCCTCCATGCTGCAGGGCCGTGAGCCCCTTGAAGATGTGTGAGCCCAGGTACTCCCAGCAGTGTCCATGGTGGGGGCATTCTCCCTGCACATGGAGTCTGCCCATCTGTCCTGCTCTCTGAGGCTGGGCTGAGCTTTGCTGTCAGGATTGGAGGGGTGGGTTTGCCCTGGGATGAAGGAAATGCAGATCAAGACGCTCCACCAGCCCCTCTTTTCCAAAGAGACGGATGCTGGCACTGGGCACAGGAAAATGCCATTCAGAGCAAGAGTTTGGTGTCCACCAACGTGGGGAAGGGGCAGATGACAGACACACACAGGCCAGCTTGTCCCCTGTATGCTTTTAATACAGAGGTTCATCCCAAGGCACCCTGTTCCTGGGGTACGGATGGTGGTGGGGTCCCTTGGGGCATCCTCATGGGACTCCTGCGGCACCCTAATGTCCCCAAAGCCAGCTGCTACAGAGGGACCAGGTCCGGTGGCAAGGGCACAGCTGTGGGACAGTGACAGAAGGGCTGGAGGGACCTCGGTGCTCCGTGGGGTCACCCCCTACCCCATCCTCCTTGCAGTCGGAGTGGGAAGTTTGAACTCGTCCCCCTCACCCGCTGGGGTTTCTGCACTTTGAAATGCAAACCTGCCTTTCAATGCAAATGCTGCGAGAGGTTGGGCCCAATAAAAGCCCGTGGGCAGGGAGGTGCCTGGCCCCAGGACAGGCTCCCCAAGGCGCCCAGGTGAGTGGTGGCGAAGGAGGGGCGGCCGCCTCCCCGCCAAACCCGAGCGGCCGCAGCCGCGGCTCGGCAGCGCAGCATGAGCGCGGGGACCGCCCGGGAAGATGTATGTGGGATATCTTGTGGATAAGGACACCAACATGTATCCCAGCCCGGTCCGGCACCCCAGCCTCAACCTCAACCCCCAGAACTACGTGCCGGGGCCACCGCAGTACTCGGACTTCGCCAGCTACCACCATGTGCCGGGGATCAACAACGACCTGCACCACGGACAGCCGGCAGCCGCCTGGGGCTCTCCCTACACCCCTGCCAAGGAGGACTGGCATTCCTACGGCACCGCTGCGACGCCTTCCACCGCCAGCCCGGGGCAGTTTGGATTCAGCCCCCCAGATTTTAACCCCATTCAGCCTCCGGGCTCTGGACTCCTGCCTCCACCCATCAGCAGCTCAGTCCCCCAGCTCTCCCCTAATGCCCAGAGACGCACCCCGTATGAGTGGATGAGGCGCAGCATTCCCAGCACCAGCAACAACGGTAAGGAAACCCCCAGAGCAGAGGATCCCTGGCCTTGGAGTCCTGCAGGGCCGGATCCTGCTCTGTGGGGACTGCCAGAGGGACAGCAAGCTTGGCCTGCCCTTGGCAAGACACCCAGTCCTCAAAGAGCAGGGGAGATCTGAGGTGGCAGGGGCTGAGGATGGGCAGGGAGGGTGCTGTCCTTCCACACTGGCACCTGGGCTTGTATGGCTGGAAAATCCTTTTCCCCAATTGGTCACTGGGGTAGGATGGACAGAGCCAGAGACCCCCAAGACTGGGGGAGTGTTGGATGAGGGGTCTCAAAAGTGCAAGGGTGAGAGTATGGGGCTGTGGCTGTACATGAGAGTGTGGGCTGGCTGTGTGAGAGCCTGTGTATGGTCTGTGTGTGTGTGTGCAAGGTGCCCAAAGATGTGTGCGTGTGCAGGGAAGGAGCTTGTGTACATCCATGCTGTGTGCATGGGCAAGGTGGATTCAGCGAGGTGCTGCAGGCTCCGTGTGAGTGTGCAGGGCACCATGAGGAGTGTGTGTGTACAGGCAGTGCCACCAGGTGTGTCTGGGGAGGTGATGTGCTTGGTGTGTGTGTGCAGGGTGCTGTGAGGAGGACGGTGTGGTGCGTGGTGTGTGTGTGTGAGGGGCACTGTGTGTGCCCTGGGGACAGTGCCACATGGAGGGTGGCTCTGGATGCTGCAGGTGCACGGTCAGTGCGTGCCCGGCTCTGGAGGAAAGGGTGCCCTGGTTCCTGTGATTACCTCTGGCCTGGGCACCGAGTGGTCATAGGCTGTCCCCAGGGTCCTGTCCCCGCTGAACTCCTGACCTGGGGGAAGCGTCTGGGTCACCCCAGCCCCCTCTCCGCCCTGCTGCCCACTTCAAAGGCGGTGGGCAGATCCCCCTTGGGGCCAGCCCAAATTGACAAGGACTTCTCTTTGTCATGGAGATGGTGGCCGGCTCCTTTGGCAGTGAGGTGAGGTGCGGGCCCTTTGTCCTGACCTACCCTCACCCTTTCATCTTCCCAGCCTGGACCCTTCCCAGCAGGACCCATGGGGCTTGCCTGAACCTGCCACCCTTCTCCCTCTCCATGCTGGCCATGAGCTCCTCAGAGCACTGCTGGGGCCAAACTCACTACAGGAGTGGCTGTGGGCATCTCTCTAGGGCGAGTTTGCTTTAAGTTCCTGCTGCCCTATATACCTGGAATCAGAGCCTGAGCTCTCTGTTTGCAAAGTGCCTCCAGTTTTTGGCTTGTTTTTGGCTCTGAACTATTCTCAGTGGCCAAGAGCCATGTAAGGGTCTTCTGCAGAGGTGTCGGGGGTCTTCCAGCACGGAAAATACCTACTTGTATTCCCAGAATCTGTGTGACAGGGATGGGGACCAGTGTCTGCAGTGAAGCAGGCAGAACATCCCGATAAATGGAAAAAAACCCAGCCCCAGACTGGAAAGAGGAGGGAGAGGCAGGCTGGTATTTCCTGTCCCGTTTTAAGCACTGAATGTAACTATTTAGGAAAAATGCTTCCCTCCAGATGCAGCGATGGAGACCCACAGGCATGCCAGGCCTGAGGGCTTTCCTCTGCCCAGGGTCGAAGGGGAAATGTGATGTGCAGCCCTCCCCTGCAGCGGGGACCCTTCCACTTCTGCTGGTTTTGTAGGTCTGAATATCTTGGTTTCTTCTGAGAAGAAAGGTGGGAGGGAAAATGAATGGGGAAGGAAAGCCATCAGCACACCTCTCCTCTGAATCAAGGTCATGAGTTTACACCCAGCAGTGAGGCCAAGATAAAACAGGAGCTTGAAAGTGCCTCTGATTGAGTTAAACGACAATTGAGTTGATTGAATTCTGGAAAAATATCATTAGTTGCTTAGTTTGTATCTCTTAGATCAAATACATACAAAGGAGCAAATAAACCAGCCCTGTTCCTCTCACACACAGGAGCTGTCCCAGCCCCACCAGAGTGATGCAGGGGTGAAAGGCCCTTTCTTGGGATGGTTTCCTTAGGATGGATGACCAGTAAGCTCCTTTTCTAAGTTACCCACAGATTAAAGACCTGTCCTTGCACCTCTGCTGGGTCCAAGCCCAGTGCTGCTGCCAAGGCACTACAGGATTTGGCCATGGTGGGACCATGAGCTGGGAGATGCAGTTGGTGTTTTCCAGGGCTGCCCTTTAAATAAAAGTCTTCATTAAGCTTGAAAGAGAGTAGGGCAGAGATGGATTTGACATAGATAAGGGTGAAGTTCTTAGATGAATCATTTTATTGAAATCAATGAACTTGACTTTAATCAGTCTGGATTGATAAACTCTCATCTCACTGCAGTGAGAATAGGAAATGAATACATGGAGTTTTCTGCTATAAATATCAACAGTCTCATTGTGAATGCTATAAATCATAATACTTCAGAGGGTTGTAAATGAATGTTCCCTTTCTGTCTTGGCTCATATGAACAGCTCCTGGCCATAGTTTGAAAGCTTTTGGGGAAGAGCTGTGTGGTAGTAAAATAAAGTGTTGTGCAGGGAATATGAGTGTGTTGGGCACTTCTGAAAAATGTGATCCAGAGCTTAAGAAAAATCAATGAGAAATCTCCCAGTGACTCACTGCAGAGTCAGGCATTACAGTGGGGTGATTTTCTGTACCTGTTGCTACATTCATGTGTGTTTCTCCTGGCTGGGCTGAGGTAACCCAGCAGCACGAGGGATTGCAATGCCAGTCACTGGGAATTGGGAGTTAGAGGGAACCGAGCTGGAAGATGTCCCCAGGCCTCATTTCTCTCTCCAATGTCACCTCCTTTTCTGCTCATAAAATTTTCACTAGCAGCATGTCAGAGCCTCATGCTTCCTCCTTATTCACAATTATTTGCAAACTTCCCTGTGAATTGCACCCAAGGTTTGTAAAAAGCTCAGGAAGGTGGCTGGAAGCTGGGCTGGCTGAACTTTGAAATTCACCCTCTGCTTGTTAGTCATGCAAATCCTCAGATACTGCCTCGGGTCTGGCTTTTAGGTCACTAATTGAACAGGGGCTGCAGTGCTAAATATTGCAAGTGAAAGTGCAATTGGAGCATCCCTTGCAGAGGCAAATGTGCTCAGGACTTCGTGTGGTACCAAGGCCCGTGGTGCCCACACAGGTTTTGGGGTGATGGAAAGCAAACAGTGATGCTCTGAGCATGTGGTGATTGGCTGGGCATGCAGTTTTCCATCTCAGTTTTATTTTTTCTAGGTCAGTTCTCCAGCTCTGTTTATTTTCCTAGTGGGGCCCATGAACACTGGGGGAAAGAGGGAAAATCCCAATAATGAGACAGAAATATTTTCCCTGGACTGCTGGGATTCATGCCATGCTTGGTATGTTTTGGGATGATGGTGCTGGCTGGAGGACAGTGCATTTCCCTGGTTAGCCCCTGCATGGGGAGCCTCTCTTTAGGACGTGCTCATTCCCTGTGAGCCCCTTTCCTTCACTGGGACACTCAGGGTTGTGTTGGGCCCCATCAGTCTTCTTCCTTTGAATTATTAACCCACAACCTGCTCCTGGCCCCAGCTGGGTTTGTTGACTGCTTAGCCTGCTGGCCAAGGTACAGGCCTCTCAAACTTTCCTAGAATTGACTTTCCTTGAACAAAAAGGGCTTCCCTGGAGCACTGGCAGTACCTACGTGATGGGCTTGGCTGGCTAATACCCCGGGATTAGCAGAGGGACACTTTAAACCTCTGGCCAATGACAGATGTTTCCCATAGGGGACCTTTCAAGGACACTCACTCCAGTCCTGTTAGCTCTGTGATTGCTTGGATAAGGGGCTAGATCCTTCCCCCACACTGCCCCATGGCAAGGATGGAGCTGCAAAGGGGGAGAGGAACCCTGGTGTCCATATAGGACCCCCACTGCCTTGCTGCCCTCCTCCTCCTGCTGCAGATGAGCCACATCGAGCCAGATGGCAGGCTGGGATGAGCTGGATCAGGGCTGGATCAGGGAGTGAGGTGACGTTCTGGACGGGGCTGTGTTCTCCCCACGTGTGCAGCAGCCCGTGTGTCACCCGGCGCTCCCCGTCCTCCCGCGCTGCTGCGCTCTTTGACCCAGCACAGGAGCCAGGCTGGCGCTCAGCTCAGCACTCATAAAACACGGGAACAACTGAAGGAATTTGCCATTTGCCAAAATAAAGGATTGAATCACTGCGGGGCTGGGAAAGACTTGCCCCAACACCCAACTACAGGCTACTGCCCCTGGGGATGAAGGGCCTCTGGTTGTGTTGTTCATGTCCAAGAACATGGGGTTGGGATGGGGAATCACCAGCTTGCTGCAGCACCAGGCATCTGCTCTGCATCCCCTTGGGGTCTGCACCTCCTGGGAGGAGGATGAGGCTACCAGGAGGGGTGTCCTCACCAATGGGTGTGGATGTGGGTGCAGCTCTGTTCTTGTCCCACTGTGCTGGCTGTGTAAAACTCAGCCAGGGCCAGCCTGTGCTCCTGTGCACCAGTCTGCACTCTCCAAATCCAGCTCTTTGACCAGGTGTTTCTGCCTTTTCCTGGCAGCAGGACTGCCCTGCCTGACTGTGCCGTGCACCAAGCCTGGGCTCTGCCTTGAGCTCTGCTGGGGCCACAACCCCTAGCATGCATTCCACAGCCACACACTCACACTTAGAGCAAAGTTTTTAGGGAACACAGAGCTTGATCCTCAGTGAGCAGGAGACCAGAGAGCCATTGGGTCAAGAGGTGCAGTTTGGCAAATGAAATGCTTCCAGTGCTCACCATACCAAATTGAACCAGGTTTTATTGCTACCTGGTGCACGTGGGAGAATTGCAGCTTACTCTGAAGCCTTTGGCACCAGGAAGAAATATTCAGGTTGTGTGAGGTGAACCACCATGGAGAGAGCTACCCTGGATGTAGGAACATTGCTGGCCTTCTTGGCAGGGCCCTCAGACTCCAAGATGAGTCCTGCCTCAACCCTGATGTCTCAAGTGCCCATTTTTCCAATGCTGAGTAGAGATGGGGGAGCTTTGGCAGAGTCCATTCAGTGAGGAATCATCCAGCATT